AATAATATATATATATATATATATATATATATATATATATATATATATATATATATATATATAATGATATTCGCAAGTGATAAGGACTGAAGCAGTTCAAACTGAAAAACATTTAAATATGCAAACAAAAACAACCACTAGAAAATCCCTGCTAGAATATCATAACACATTCCCCATGATCATTTTGCTGTGAAAAATTCCTTCTGATCCCTTTCTTGACAGGTTTCAACCTTTAGGATTTTGACGACTTATTGTAAGGGCAGATATAAAGTCTTACTGAAGAAAAAAACATGACGTACTTCATGATATGATCTGAGGACTGAATGCAATTCGGCAACTGCTTCTGAATCCATCGATTTTATCACAAATTTCTTATCATGTGAAACAAACAAACGTGAGCCACTTTTGTCCAGCTGGTCCAGCTCTGGTTCCGGTTCACTATATGTTAACGAACGCTGTAAAGATTTGAAAAATGGTGGATTTCGCAATAAATTACAATAATATTTCTCATTTCAACTTTTCTCTCCTCATATCATTCAAAAGAACTCACTAATGAGGAAAATACATAATGAATGACTGGACATACCAAATATTCGTTTTGATCAACACCAAAATGGTCGCGAAGATTACGAAACACATTAGGGCAATAATCTTTGATTTTGAAATGGCTTGGCATATTATCTCTGGAATGACAAAAGTTTTGATAATCATGTTTGTATTGCTTTTGCATATCATTGCTTTTGTGATACAAATTCTTTTCAAACTGACTTAAATTAATTGTAGATTTAATGAAACTGGTCGGTGATAGGGTGAAATTAGCTTTCTTTAGAATCTGCGACTACGCTAGGAGCTGTTCGATAAGCAACGCGGCAAAGAGAAAGATGCATAGCACAAAACTAGATAGACAATCCTGATGGCTGAAGCCTGCTAGATTTGAAATGGAAGTTTTGCTCATTTGAAGTTGAACTTACTTATTGAAGAAATGATTATCAATTTTAATTTTAATTGAAGCTTTGAAATCATCTGGCATCAGCAGTCCTGGAGGTGGAACATGCAATAATTCGCTGATCTATAAAATGACATATGATTTCAAAGTTTTGTTACTTATCTTTTACACTTTGATCACAGTGCTAATTATCTCATATAATTTGATTACAGTGATGCAATACTAATTGTTCCAACTTTTACACCACCTTTTCATAATACATTTGATTTGTGATCAAATCAATATATCAAATGTTATGCAAACAACCGTAAGATTCATGGTTCTTGAGTAAAGATTGAAGGGCAAAATAAACCCTAAACTACTATGAAAGCTAAATATTTTCGTCTTTCAGTTCATATGAGCTAATATTCAAAGGAAGATAACATAAAGATTCAGAAATGACATAAATTTTTTAATAAGAATGGAAATTGTTTACCGAATGATTCACTCCCCACATGAATACCGAAAGAAGTGGTTCCTTGGCTCGAAATAATTTCCATTTCGGCACCAAAACTTTCCCTTTTCCTTTCTTTCCTTTGCGTGGTGTTTTTTTCTTCGTGGACATCTCTGCAACGACACAGCAAAAGCTTCCTACTAAATCTGCTACGGATAAGTATGTAAAGATGAATGTTTACTTTCGCTTTTTTCCTTTTTTTTTTCATTTTCGGCACTAAAATAGCCTGATTTGGATTTTCAGATTTGAAAAATAAAAAGATATATCAGAAATAAGGGAAAGAACACAGTGAACATGTATGTAAAGTACCGAAAATCGTGACGTCAAAAAACAAAGTTGTGAGTTGCAATATATAAAAACGACCAGTAAACAAAGAAATCTTTTCAAACACGCAATCGAGTGAATCATCTTATGAAGGAACTCAAATTACTCAAATGATTATTTGTAGGCAACTATTTTGACAAAGATAACTTTGGAAGCACGAAGAATTACTTCAACTTTCATAAATTTCCGATAATTAAGATAACTCTTTCAAGCTTCTAAAACTGAAAGCAGCTTTTCGCAATCACAAATGTTAAGCAAAATATCAGACCTGATTAAATTCACTCAAATTACCAAATTTTTAAATTTCAAACTTGGGTTATCAACCAATTTCTGTATCGGAGTATGATTTGTATGGCACGTGGACCCCCCAACCCTTTCATGAAATGACCGAAGAATAATCAATTTCAATAACGATTACATAAACCACAATAAGGTGAACAAAGGGTATGAGTATTACTATATTTCGACTGGATGACTTCAACAAATGAAATTCCAATATGCTTCTGAATGAGCCATAAAAAAATTAAAGATTTGGTTTAAAGAAACTACCGAAATGTTGGAACAACCATCAGACCCACCAATAAATGTAAAAATATAAGCATAATCTTACTTGGACTGTTTCTGTTTAATTATTGAGGAAAAAGAAAGACTCAACTAGGATAAAAACAATGTTGGTAATCTTGTGATTTAAACGATTGGTATTAAGGGAAACTTGATTGATGGGGACTTTCTACTGGAAATGTGGGTAGAATGTAGCTGAAGGTAAACAATAAATCATTGCAGTAAACTGCAATACACTGCGTTGAAAGCAACAGCCGCTGCAGCTCAAGTAACATATGACAGATATTGACACCAGCATACCATTTTCTCAGCCTTGTAGGATTTAATCCCTACTGGACAGAAGGAACTGATCAATTAATGGTGCTTTAATGTTCCAATCGCAGTTTAACAACATCCTGAACTCCTGGAACGTCGCCCAAGCTTCGCTTGTCCAATATGATCAACCTGCCGTATCCTCGACCACCTCTCTCCCTTTTTTTTTAAATGCATAAAATTTTAAGATCACGGTGACATACTAGAAACTTAAAATAAGTGTAAATGGAATGGAAAAAGAGGGAAGAGAATTCCTAATCCCCCTTACACAGTAAGGAAATATCTCGGTGGACAAAGCAAATACCTACAAATAACCCATTAGAACCTGTCCACGACAAGCACAGAAGGTGACAGGCTCAGACGACATCAACCCCACCCTTTCTCCACAGAAAAATAAGCCCACGAACATCATTGGGTTGTCGCCACCAACTACGTCCCTGTTCAATCGCGCAATTAACACGGCCCGGCAGATACACACTCGATGAAACCTGCAAGGCTCCAGCTGATTATCGATCTGTGGAAATCTCACGTCTCATATCCATACCACACAATATATATATGAATAAGCGGGATCATTGTCACATTTGCTCGAGATCGTTAATTTCAGTTGATGAGAATGCCCAGCTTGATGAATTAACAATGAACAACATTATCCTCTTGTCCACTGCAACATCTTTAACCTAGAAGTGCTCTTGTACGATGGTTATGTCTGTCTGTCCTCAGAAATATAAGTATTTCATATTATATATGTATATATACATCTCGAACATATAACAAATGCTGAGCTATTTGTAATCAATGATGAACTTCACGTATCTTTTCCAAGACCACCCAATTTATCGACCACAGTATCCTTTACCTCCTTTACTTTCTTGGAACAAGCAACTATAGATGCAGCCAGCAGGTTACTCTTATGTATTACATAACTGACATAGATCACACTCTTAATGTTAACCTCCCACCTTTGTTGGTCTCTAGAAATATGTTTCTTTCTTTTTTTTTTTGAAGACTGAGCGGAAGTTCCGTTTCGACTCAATAAAATTCAAGTGGCACTGGTTATACAATCCCGAAGCAATTATTTTATTCAGCAAATGAATTTTTTACATGAAGGAATCTTTACGACATATTAAAAAGGCAACTAGAACAGAAATGCTGATGTATCACTCACGATTTCTCATAAAATCGGTCGTTATTCGAGACATTTGCAGCCGAATGCAAATATGTGCAGAGGTGTGAATGTCTTGGAATAAGATTCACATTTAATTCCCGTGAAGAATTAGGCAAAATGTATTGAAAAAATAAATAAGCAAGAGGAAATACAATGATTGATGCAACTGTCCGCAAAGAGAGAGACAAAAATTATGTCTCTCTCTCTGAGACAAGAATTTTAACCCACCATCAATTGGACCTAAATTTTGCATACAACAGTTTAACAACAGAAAACTGCAAAGTTCATCATGACAAAAGAAATATCGGTAATAATATAGAAGAATGAACTGGATGAAAATTGTCTGTTTCTCTTTAAACCTGTCCTACAAAGACTAAATTGCGAGACTTGCAATATATAAAAATTTATACCCATCTTTCATCTTTATTACCAAAGTTAAGATCTAAACGAGTCTTATGAAATGCCTCAGTAGCTAAGAGGGAGTCCACGACAGCAATGACGCAAGAACGATTTCTACTGCCCACAAAAGCATATACATCATTCGTTCAAACCTTTCCGGAATACCATAAGCCTCCAATGATCAGTTCTTCAGGATCCATTCCAGTCCCACTAATTAATATCACATGGACTTGACCCTGTTAGATTTCTCACAGGAACTCTACTAAGTTTTGAAAACATAATGAAACTTCATTTATTAAATCTTACTGAAGACTCTCCAGTTCGGTTTATCGAACCTAACTATAATACTCATTAATCCAGCCAATCTCGAATACGAATGATGATATAAACCAGTCCTTCTAAACCGTAATCTGGTTGCGCTTTACCAGTTTGCTCATAGCGATAATGCAATCATTAGATTAAATACGCTTATTATCTATAATAAAAGTCCTAGTATCAAAACTAAATTTAGGCTTACTTCAAACTACTAACTGTAACTGTAGTAACCAGTGATCAACATGTTAATTTTATTTACATTGAAGTGATTTATACGTAACTGTATGATAAATATAAATAACACACATATATTACATGGCAAGAATACGAAGGAACTGGAATTTATTTCTGTCCTTCAATACAATTATTTATCATGAGTAAGCCATTTGGTATCCAAAGATCGTGCAGTTGAAGCAGTCAGACTGCAATGCTAATGAAATTTCCAAATATTTCAAAGATTTGCAATGGATGTTACCAGCCGCATAGACGTCCCACCGAAACCTGACAAGCTATATAAAATGTAATGACTTGGGGCCAGCACCACGGCATTTTTCGAAAATCCAATGCTTGTCTGTTTATGGAGGTAGCCCTACCATCACATCGAATGACACTATGACATGGATTGCAGTGTAATTTTGAAAATTTGGACTATCTTAAATTAATAAATTGTCATTCTAAAATTGCACATAAGACGAATCCTCTTCTAGATAGCAATTAAAGACATTAAAGTTATGAGACTAAAGTATTATTAGATATGAATGAGGTAAAATACATTTCACCTCCTCATTATATTTATCTCATAATATTTCAATCTCATAACTTTCACTCGGTTCTTACAGATCAAATCTACTCTTTTTAATTCCATTCCATTTCTCACAACTTTACAGTTCATTTGTGCTCACGTTATGCTATATATTAAGGAGAATGGTTCGTAGTGAAAATGCTTTCCAGAGATGGCTTGGCTTCGCCATGGACAATGATTCATGATTTTCACTTTTCTAGCCATTGCAAAATATTTTTTGTTCAAAACAAAGTAGTATTTGAAAAATTATACCTGAACAAATTCGGAAACTGAAAATTGAAATACATAATACGTACAAACAAAATGAATTGCACTTAAAAGGAGAACGTAGAGATAAAGGAAGTGTACATTTGTAGATGGTGACTGTTTTTACTCAGATACCACACCCTATGAACGTCCCCATCTGAATATTTTGAGTGTTAGAGCAGGAAGACTGATAAGCATCGATTTGGAATGTCCTCTGGGAAAAGACTATTTCTGTGATGATTTGGATGATCCACCGAAGTAAATAATGAGGAACAGCACCAGCGATACCAACAATAACGTAATGAATACCAAAATGCAAATCTTTTTCTGAAATGCAATACGCTCATCCTAACTATTTAAATTTCGGGTGTGTTAATAGACTCTTTTCTCTCTCGTGATAAATGTTAGGTGTGTTTTGCTATTAAATTTAAGCAAGCAAATATATCCTTTTAGACCAAAGAAATAAGAATATCAACAAATGTTTTTTTATCTTTGCAAGACAATCTTATCTTCGATAGTAATAACCAATACAACGGATCACTCTCCGACAGTCAAGAAAATTAGGTGAACGATGGTATAAGTTGGTAATAAATCTCTAAAATTCTAATTTACTTTGTCACTTTTCAACTACAGTATTACGCACACTCATTATCAAATTATGTTCGCTGCCTCCTTGTTACCAATTGCGGCAAAAAAAGTTATTCGTTCTTTCGAAAAAAGTACAGCGGATTAGTTCTTATAAGAAATATGGTAAATGTATGAAGCAAATAAAATAAACTGGATTCTGAATTCTACACAATTCAATTACATCAACTTCGACCTTCTATAGAAGGTCGGAGTTAACGTGATTGAATTGTGTTACTTTCAACCTTTTGTATTTATTAATCGCTGTCGCAAAATATTTTTGAACTGATTCTGCTAAACACATGAATAAATCTCAATTCAAATTTAAAAACTGATAATAGGCAGCACTTTCTCATTGTCAAACCTAAATTTCGAAGCTATGTTATTGTATCTCATTAACAGCTCTCCGACCTTTAAAATCTTTAAAAATTCTACAGGAAAAGAACGAAATAAATTTCAGCCACCGGAAAGATGTAGTTTTCCCTCGAATAAACCATAATTCCATGGTCTAGATGAGAAACAGGTAATTTTTCTGTTTTTGAAAGGAATGGATGGAGTGCACGGTCCATCCTGCAGTGGAAGCTTTTCAGAAATGAAAAGACAAAAGTTTAAGATAAAAGTTAAGTAGCACCAAGGTAAACGAACTCAAAGTAGTTTCTATGATCAAAATATATTTTCTCAGTGCACTCAGGAACTTTGCTGAAAGATACTTAGCAGTTCATGAAATGAAAAAATACACCATGAAAATGCAAATACATGGCCACCGTATAACGTAATAAAGTAAATTAGCAAAACCCGCTAATTCGTGCGACTCTCCTTACTGTCGAATCATTATTTCTGAACAACTAGCAGTAGCCATTACTGGTAAGTAAATCGATTCATGAAACGAGAGGCAAGAGAACTATTCGAAATTTCAGGACGCATCTAAATGTTTTGAGGAACAGACTATTCAGAGTTCCGAGCAACAGGAAATTTGCTCTCAAAATTTCAAAATCCATAAAGAAGGAATTTTTTTGCGCTTTTCTCCAACTACCCTCCAACTACCCTTTCTCGTCCCTTCTCCAGTTTTTTATACTATTTGCTTAGATTTCAAACCTACCAGCAGGGCTACTGCATTTAAGACCTTTGTTATACCTTACAAAACAGTTGAAAATTATAGAATATTAACAGTATTAAATTAGAGCAATTTTCATGAAATTAAAAAGGAAGAATTACTAAATTGAATTTTGTTTTAGAATACAATACAGCGAACTCAAAAACAAAACTGCCACTTTGATTTAATGATAATTCAACACATTTCTGAGGAAAATTAATGAAGGAATATCACTGCTAATTATTTTTCGAGATCACAAGCAATTTCTAAGAAGGAAAAACTCAACACTGAATCATTTTATTGCGAAATTGCATGAATTAGTCATGCTTGAGATTTCCAAAGTGAGAGTATTTTTTGTGGTCGAAAACACCCTCTATACGTTACAAAAATGAGACGGAAATGCATAATTTAGACCCGTCTTACATCTAGAAATCAAGCGAACTTCTGGACTGCTGTCTTTTCTCGCGGTGTTGATAAGGTTTGGATAAGTCCTAAACAGATATAATATCTGTTATAACACCTAATGTATCAAATCTGAAAGAAAAAAAAGTTCCCACTTTTGTTACGGTAGAAAATCATGTGATTTTCGAATATTTGTCACATACATCACAGGATAAGACTAAGACATACAAACAAATGCAGTAGAGATGAATACATTAACAAATGTAAAATTTATGCAAATTTAGGCAGTGGCAAAGCAAGAAAAAAGAGATTATTACAGTCATTAGTAAACAAAGCAATACATAAATAAGTCCGTGTGATGATTCAATTGTAACACAAGGCTAAATGACTGATAAGAGTAATAAAATTGCAGAAAGCTGAACAAAAATCATATTACCATTGATGGTTGCTGTTATGATGATGGTGAATACAGTGCGAACCAATGTGGACAACTATGGTTGTACCTTATCAAGTATTAAAAGGGATGGATGCACGTCGAATATCAAATTCAACATTGTAGTCCACGATTTCATTCATTATAAGGAAAAGTAACTCAGTAAAAAGCCATCCTGTCAACGTTTTTCTTATTCTCTAGGATATATATCAAAAAGTCATGATCATAAAACTTCGCCTGAAAACAATAAAGTGAAAAACTTTCCCTTTAACCCTTAAGGGTAAAATGTTATAATCACTAACTTGAAAATAAGAACATCTTCGAATTCAGAAAACAAATTCCATTAAAAAAATATTCAGAATTCATGAACCTAATAATAAAAGCGCTTCCATCCCGTTTTTAAGTATGAATGTAAAATTAAGTCATAAAAAGTAACAAATAAATGCAGGAAGCTATAATGCTGTCTCTTATAATAAAAATATATGAACGGAAATTACAAATATTTTAAGTAATAATAATATGAATAGCTTGATATCTCAAAATGGACTTGGGATAAATGTCATCAACATGAGGACCAGTATGGCGATTAGTATTGTCACGCAAATCAATATCATTATCTTCTTCTGAAAAGGAAAAAAAAAAATAGATTCTTTACTTTTACAAATACTCTTTCCCTTTGCAGCAAACTGCAAAAATCATATTCAGGGTCATGAGGGGAAAAGTATAGGTAATGAACAGTAATCTACATGGACAAACTAAATGAATAAAAAGACATTTTCAATTCAATAAACTATTTCTTATTCTTATGACTCAAGGACGGAATAAACTGAATAAAGTGACATTCAATAGTCAATGGACAGTAGGGATAAAAGGAATTGGAAAGTTGTTTGGATGAAACATGCATCAAAACTGAAACAATAGAATTTCAAGCAAGCACAAATATAACAACCACAACACAACCGCAACGGATATAAACGAAACACTTTCTGGAAGCTCTCTGAAATATCTTAATAATCCAGAATTCTATCCAAACAAATTTCATTTTTCAAGTTTATCCATGATATCGACAACTGATGGAGAATGATGCAGTCTGAGATGCTATACTTATAATTCCAAATTTTATCATGGTGCACAGCAAGTTTAGATCTTATCTACAATTGATTGAATCTGTAAATGTGGACAACGATGTAACAAAGACTACGAATTTGGAAAATAGAATCTGCTTATGCTTTCCTTTCCCGTCACCTACAATAACAGGAAAGCAGTAAAAATCATCACTAACAAA